CAGCTTCATCAGCAGCTCCTTCCGTTCCACTCTCTGCGTCCGAAGCCTCGTCTTTGGCTACACCCTCATCTGGTTTCACTTGCTCCCCTGCCTCTGGTTCTTGCTCCGTGACCCCTTCTGTGGCACCGGCATCCTCAGGAGCACTTTCAGCTCCAGTTTCTGCATCGGAAACCTCGTCTTTGGCCACACCCTCATCTGGTTTCACTTGCTCCCCTTCTTGTTCTTTGTCAGTTTCCTCTTCGGGGGCAGCTTCATCGTCAGAAGCCCCTTCCGTGCCACTCTCTGCGTCTGAAACCTCGTCTTTGGCTACACCCTCATCGGGATTCACTTGCTCGCCTTCCTGTTCTTTGTCCGTGACCTCCTCGGGGGCAGCAACATCTTCACCAGTGCTTTCTGGTTCACTCTCTGCATCAGAAATCTCCTCTTTAGCCTCGTCCTCCTCGGGTTTTACTGGTTCACCTGCTTCTTGCTCCGTGCTCTCCTCGGGGGCAGCAACGTCTTCGACAGGATCTGCGGCTTCATTCCCTGCATCAGGAACCTCCTCTGTGGCTCCCTGGTCGGGCCCCGCTTGTTCTCCTCCTTCTTGGTCCTTGGAATCTTCGGGGGTGTTTACATCCTCCGCTGGAGGTGCGGTTCCACTCTCTGCATCAGGGACATCCTCTGTGGCGTTGGATGTGTCTTGTTGTTCTCCTCCTTCTGCACCTGCTGCCGGTTCATCCTGTGCTGCTCCAGTAGAGTCATCTGCAGGTCCAGACTCTCCCGCAGGGGAATCCGATGGTTTATTATCTCCATTATCTCCCTGGTTATCGTTGCCTTCTGCAATCGAACCCTCTCCTTCTACACCTGATCCGGGTTGGCTCTCTGGAAGTGGCTGGACACCGTCACCCTGCTGCTGCTGCTGCTGCTGTTGCTGCAGCTTCTTGTAGTGCTCCAGTACCTCGTAGGCGCTCTTCAGAAATGCCACACCTCCTGCCATGAAAAGCCCGATGTGTGCCTTGGAGATGAACTCTAGAATTACCTTTATCAGTTCGCTTACATCCAGAGTTGAGAAGTCTATCCCTGCGAATGCGAGAGATGCCACGAGTGCTGCAACACCGAGCACCGCTAGTAGACGGCCTTTTAATGCGGGTTTCGTTCCCTCTCCTGACTGTGAGGCGTTGTTTTGGTTACCGTAAATGCTGCGGAACCACTCCACCAAACCTGCGATGATGCAACCGACGGCCAACTTCGATGCAGACTTAACCCCCAGCTTGTCCATCAAATCCAATGTGGTCTGCAGCGTTTCCTCCATAGATGAAGTCTGTGTGCGAGCCAGAGGGCGGGGACGTGAAGCTGCCATAGACAAGGTGATACCGACTATCAGCAACACCACACCGAAGAGCATCATCTTGCGCCCTCGGATGGCGGATGAGGAGGCGCCTGAGGGAGAGGCTTCTCCAGCTTCCTCCTTCTGAGCTGCTGCTAGAGCGCCCTTTATTTGGGAGGCCGTGACCTCTAGAGAAATCACGGCGCCTGCCTCATCATCTTCGATTGCACCAGTGGCAGCGCTGACGAGCGCAACAAGTTGAGCTTCTGGATTTCCCATTGATAAATTGTTCACTGGGGGTTCGTTGGCTTTGGGGGCGTGAGACAACGCAGTTTCGCTAACTGGATCGCTAAAGCGACTGGCGTGCGCTGGCTGCTTCGCTGCGCAGAACGCAGCGTTGCCGAGCAGCAGGAATGCTGCAAGGAGATGTTGGCCCCACATTGTCAAAAAAAATGAATTGTAACTAAAAATAAAAATCTTTTGAGGACGGGGATAGGCGATAGCTGCCTACTGTAGCCCGACGGTCGGTCAACGACCGTCGGACCGGCACTGTCTTCGAGACGAAAGAGAAAAAGGGCCCTGAGTTGGGGCCGCTGGCGCTGTGAAAAGTTGAACACTGTGGCTTAAGTTCATAAAAAACATTTAAAAACCCAAACTTGAAGATTGTTCTGATGGGGGAACGAATGCTGCCGCTGTCGGCGGTGCTTGTCGAGGGCGGAGCTGCCGGCGGCGATGCAGATCGCTGGAGGCCTGCTGCACACAAGCTACCCATGGAAAAGACACGCGCCATTGGAGGCGTTGTTAGAAACACGTTCATAATCCATTATTTGTTTTTATTTCAAGTCCGTTTGTGTGGGGAACTTGGGCTCGCGACACCTACAGTAATCACCAGCATCTTCCGTCCACCCAACACAAGCGCTAGACAGAGCAGACGGTGTGGTCTCCTCCGCAACCGCTGCCGCGTTTCCGCAGGACCCAACAAGGCGATTACAGTAAAGCTCCCGCTTTTTTTATAAAATTGATAAGAACGCTGGCGCGTAGAGGGAGGCGCCAAGAGGACACGCGAAGAGAGCCGTCAGAAGAGTCGAAATTGAGAACGAAACGTCGATGAAACGTGGAGACTGCTCACAGAGAGCCCTGCACCCCGAATGATTCGAAAAGCCAATAAAAACTAAAAAACTAAGGGACTTAGAAACTCTAGAAAGGCACAAGAGAACGGGCAGAATGCGGAGGAGGCTGAGAGCATCTGTTCCAGCCGGTGCTTGCACTGCTGACCGTGGCGAGGTGACGAGGTCTGCATGCGTAAATGCAGATGAAACATCAAAATGTGAATGAAATCCAAAAGAACTGCTATGGCCGTGATATGTGGAGCAGGCAACACCGCACGGCTGCAACTAAAAGCGAAGATCCAACCGGCCCTGCAGCTCGAAATCTCCAGCACAGCAGATCACGCTTTGGTTGTAGGTGGTTTGCGAACTCCACACATAGTACCACCTTCCATTTACAAATAATCTGTTTGTATGTGCTCAGTAGCCTATGCATTTGGGAAGAGGTTGCTTGCAACGTCAGTCGGCGCCGTTAGCCTAGGACCACCGTGTGCAGCACTGGCAGTTTCTGGTTCTTCTCCAATAGGCATTAAGCAAATACGTGAGCCAGGACCAAACATGATTGGTACAGGAATACGTTTTTGAATGCATATGAGTGGTATTTGAGCACTCAGATGTCAATCACTGGAAAAACAGTATTCGAGCAACCAAAATAGAGGTGTCAATAATTGCACTGGCGCCCTTCTGGCACGAAGACAAGGGAAATGCGTCGTGTAATATCATTCAGCACCCTACCTCTTATGAGGTAGGAATCACCACATAGTATTTGACAACGGTGGGAGTGGAGCATCAAATGCAGAGGCAAGCCAGGCCTGTAATCTCCGGTTTACCGTTAGAGTCACCCACCAGGCGCAGACTGAGCCAACCTTTGGAACATCGGAAGTCGTATATTCGCTGTTGTTGAGGTGAGGAGGGCCTGTAGATGTTCGTAAGGACTCCCACGCAGAATGGACCGCCTCCAACCACTTTTCGTTGTCGGCTTCCCGGCCAATTAACGTAATATTCTTATTTTCTAGGGTATCTGCATTCATTACTCGCATTACCAGTTGCTTCACGAAATGGTGTTTCTGCGCTCTTTGGGGGGAATCCAAAAAACGCTCGGTGACTGCCTGCACCGTTTTAGAAAAGGGAAATTAATAGTAGGCCACATCATTGTCTCCAGAACGGGAAGAACGTAGAGATTCGGGAGCGTGTGTCAGTGACGCTAATACCCATGGTATGATCGACTGTAACATCGTATTTTGTGAGCTGCCAAACCGAATGAACAACACTTTCATTATCGAATTCGTAAAACCCTCTTCTTCAGGGACGTCCGGGATTAATGATCGGCATAAAGAGTGACTCCGATGCTACATAATAAACATGTGGCTTACTCCCCGCGAGGTTGTGTAAAGCCATTTCTCACATACCAGATACTTCTGTTCTTTCTCCGTGAAAGGGCGTGACTAGAGCTCCTTCAGTTGATTTTGTTCTTCATGCTGGCTACCTGCTGATACCGGAATGCCTCAACCACTTCATCGGTAGGAAGGACGAGTACCAGAGAGGATGCAAGTCGCCTGACGAGACTTGCCGCGGCGTCTATTTATGTATCTGTCCAACTATGTTGTTTTTCGTTCATTAGTACACCCTTCAGAGAAGTTCCCACTCAGGAAAACGCGAACAAGTGCAGGGATCAAGATGCGATAATACGACTCTGAACTACGCCGACTTTACAGTGGGTGCAGCCACCTCCGAATGGCCTTTACCGCCGCCGGATCTGGTTGGACACCTGATGCCGAGAAAGAGAAACTCTCACAAACTCACTGCTTGTGTGGAGAGCAGGCAATATATTGCCCTTGGAAAACACCACTCCCCACGTTGCAGTACGAACGCTGCATATGCTGGAAGGGCTATTGCAGATGCGGCTGAACGCAGACACGCCGCCCATCTACACAGCCACCCTGCCCCCATTTGTTGGGACCAAGCTGTGTCGGTTCACCTGAGGATGCTGTTCGACATGTGCATTCAGGAGCCCAAATGGCATGGAGATGTGTAGCTGGTTAGTGAGGTATGGAACACAGTCGTGTGCCTGCTGTCGGGATGTACTGGGATCTGCGAAATCCTAGAGCTCATTCGGAGACAAACAATCTTGGAAGAAGAAAACTAGTGGCGGGTTCAAGCCCCTCAACAAAACTGCGGTGAAGCGGAGCCCTTCAGAGCATTAAATCAAATAGCTGCTTGACCGGAAACTGATTCAAGAAGCCCATGGGCTAGTTAAAGGCTAGATGTTTCCTTTTCTTGGTAGTTCGCTTGTTTGCCTCTCGGTTTCCTCTTCAAGATGCTTGTGCTCCTGTATCTCAGAATGAAGCTTCGGGCTCCTCCGAAGTGAGTTCGCTGCGGTGCGTTGGTCGTCCGTCCGGCGGCTGGCCGCTGGAAGTTCCTTGTCGCTTGGTACATCTGAGAGCTCTTCCTTGAACTGTTTCTGCTTGTTTTTCTCCTTGGATGCTACCTACTTTGCTTCCAGCAGAAGTGCTGTCTTCGTTCGATAAGCAGGATGGAGTGCATGCATTTCTCTGTCATTTCTTGGACCGCCTCTGCACTGCTTTAGAGGCTCTTCTTTCATATAGCAGGGGCAATTCCGCTCGTCTGGCTGTAAAAGATACAAATACTGTTGGGAGTTGTGAGAGCTGCATTCATTCACATTTTTCTGCACATACACCTAAATAGCTTTGTCTGCAGGTCGCACGCATGCAGTGCTTTGAGTCACTGGCCCCGTCCCTAGGAAGATTTAGTAGTGAAATGGCCAAGCTTAGAAGTCATGTATCATTGTAATACGAGCCGTTGCTAAGTTGAACCGGCTTAAGAAGGTTCCGCAGGCTGCATTTCTTCATCGTGGCTCCATATATAAGACCCACCTTGCAAAATCTATTTCGTAGCGCTAGCAATTGCTGAGCATGAATACGAGGCGCCATAACTCCAGAATTGACGCGAGGCGGAACTTCAGGTGCGGCCGTCACCTGTCTGGGCCCCACCACTGCACTGCACTTTGCATAGGGGCTAGGACGTTTCCCCGTGAGTTGTTGGGTCCCTTGTTGACACTGCATAACGTCTGGCTTATCTAACTCGTTATCTCTTTTGACGTGTCTGCTATCTCGAATCATGCGACCCAGACTGTGGCAAAGAAAACAAATGAGCCTCCTGAGGTGCCCCCCAAGCTGTCTGAGTGCCGATTCCGTTTGCTGGCGTCTATCTTCCGTTCTTAGGCAATTCTGTACGGGGCTAATATTCGCAGCCCCAATATCCATGGGATCACTATCTGGATCTGATGAATTTCGAAACACGTCTTCTTCCTTTTTATCTATGACTGCGGATGCAACGCATTTCCTTTTTGCTGAGTGACAACTCCATCACCTCCGCGAGTTCCACCCTTACACACCTAAATTCCCTCTCCGTAGCCCCACCAGTTGCGGAGTACCTCTCCAGGGAATAGCCCTGCTATGAGCTATTGGTGTGGAAGTTCTGAGTCAGCCATTTTGACTTCAGTTCTCCAAGTACTGACGCTTCGTTTTGTAGCGTTCCTTTAGTAGCTACCCTTTTTCTTTGGTTTTCGAGTAGCCTGCGCGTTTGTCGATTGACGGATAGTGATACACAGCAGCGCATTTAGGAATGCTTCCATACACCAGATATTTTCCGGAAAAGGGATGCCTTGCCTTGCATTAATATAGCCACAACTGTCGTGCTTAGCTATTCTGATGAATGAGGCGCTCATTTTAAGTGCAAGTCGTCCTGTGCATCTTGAAGATGGAAGTTCATCATCAGAGAAAAACGGAGTCCCCCCGAATCAAGAGGCCTTCCTTCTTCGGCTGCTGCACATAGGCAGAGGTACTCTTACTGAACTGCGTTCGCTGTAGAGATGTTCTCGACTGGATAAGCTTCGGATTCAGCGTTTGTTCCAATGTGACGAGGCACCCAGCGGTGGGTGCATGCCCAAAGGGTGGCAGATCCCGTGAAAAAATGCTTCAGTATTTTTCTTGTTTTGGTGGAGCGCCTTTGCGACTAGACCTTCCCATGCACCAGGCCACCCAGCTGTAGCTGGTGAGGTTCGCAGCTCTCGCCTGTTCATCTCGATAGAGAGGCGGTACCACTGGTAACGAGAGTCTTCCATTTTTGGAGAGTACTGTTGTGAGGCGCAGTAGAGTCACATGAGTAGAGAGAAAGAGCAGCTGAGGTCACCTCTACTTTGCAGGTGCACAGCGGCCTACTGCGCTGGATCTAGTGTGGGGTGGAAGGAGCAGGATATGAGCTGCAACTCAAACAGCTGCAGTATGGGATGTTGCCTTTCACCTAGTGTTGCAAGGCAACATAACATACTGGCACAGCTAAACACCCTTTACTGCTTGCGCTACCACTGCAGACAATTGTTGGATGCCTACGCGAGTCTCAACATATAACCTGCAAGAACGGAGGAACTCATCTAATACTAACTTCCAACTGATCATTCCACTAAAATGGCTTGCCAACCCCCTCTGCCCCCCCACAGGAACGTCCAGACGTAAAATAACTGCAATTCAAAACGTTTAGGTTTGCTTCAGGCGCAGCAAGGACGTAACTGAAATAGGGAGTCCTTGCTGCAGCAGCCCGTAGCATGCATTATAAACTCTTGAAAAATTGCTGTTGCTGCTAGGGAGACTGTTCTGCGGGGCCAGGCTCTGCAGTAGGGGAATTAGAGGGTGTGCTGGTGCTAGTGGTGCTAGTGGCTACATTTTCTGCCTGGTTTTGCTTGGTTCCTGCAGTAGAACCATCTGCTACTACTTCTGCCTCGGGCAGCTTCTCGTCAGCTGGTGCTTCAACTGTTTCTTGCTGGGCACCGTCATTCTGCTGCTGCTGCTCCTGTTGCTGCTGCTGCTTTTGGTGCTCTAGTATATCGTAGAAGCTCTTCAGAAAGGTCGCACCTCCTGCCAGGAAGAGTCCGACGTGTGCTTGGGAGACGTACTGTAGAATTATCTTGACCAATTCGCTGACATTCAGATTTGAAAGGTCCAATCCTGAGGAGGAGAGAGATGCCAAGAGAGCTACAATGCCGAGCAGCAGCAGCATGCGGCCTTTCAATGTGGGTTGCGATGTCTGTGCTGATTGCGAGCTGTTCTTTTGGCTGCGGAACAACTCTACCAACCCTGCAACGATGCAGCCGACGGCCAACTTCGATGCAGATTGAATTCCCAGTTTATCCATTATCTCCAAAGTCTTCTGCAACGTTTCATCCGCAGGCGTGGTCTGACCACGAGCTAGAGGGCGGGGGCGGGAAGCTGCCAGCGACAAGGCGACGCCGACTACCAGCATAATTATACCGAAGAAAATCAGCTTGCGGCCTCGGATGGAGGATGAGGAAGCGGCTGAGGGAGTGGCGCTTCCAACTTCTTCTGGCTGACCTGCTGCTACAACGTCCTTTACTTCGAAGCTGTGGGAGACTGCGGGCTCTAAAGAAACCTCGGCGTCTGCTGCCACCTCCTCGACTACACCAGCGGCAGTGCTGACGAGCTCAACAAGGGCAGCTTCTCGAGTGCCTATATCTGTGTCTTGTGCTGCGAATTCTTCGGCTTTTAGGGGCTGAGATGTCGCAGGTTCTTTAACTGGTGAGCCCAAGCTGCCGAGGTCCGTAACCTGCTCCGCCGCAGAGAACGCAGAGCTGCCGATCATCAGGAACGCTGCAAGGACATGTCGGCCCCACATTGTCGAACAAAAATGAATTCTAACTAAAAATAAAACACGTTTATATGCGGAGAAACGCGATAGCTGCCTGCTGCCTGCAACGCAGAAGCCGTCGTCAAACAGCAGACCGGCCCTGTCTTCCGCACCAAAAGGAAAGGAGGCCTGAAAATGAGACCTCTGCAGCTGTACAGAGTCAAATAATGTGATTTAAGTTAATAAAAAACATTTAAAAACTCAAAATTTAAGATAGCTATGACGCGGGAACGAGTGTTGCTGCTGTCGGCTGTCGTCGAAGGCGGGGTTCCGGGCGGCGATGCAGATCGTTGGAGCCCTGGTACACAGCTGCTGCCCCCGCAGAAGACGTGCATCATTGAAGGCGTTGCTAGAAGCAAATAAAATGAAAATAAAATGAAAGATTATTGAAGTCAATCTATCTTTATGTGACGACGACGGAACGCCAGCATCTGCTCTCAATGCAACTTAACCGTTAGAGAAAGCAGGCGGTGTGGTCTTCTGCGCAACCGCTGCAGAGTTTCCGCAAAACTCAACGAGGCTATTTCAATAGAGTTTCCGCTTTTTTTGTAAAATTGATAAGAACGGTGACGCGTAGAGAGGGGCACTGAGAAGGCACGCGAAGAGAGCCGTCAGACGCGTCGAACTCGTGAGCGAAGCGTCGATGAAACACGTACATTCCTCACGGAGAGTCCTGCACCCCGAATGACTCGAAAAGCCAATAAAAATTAAAAACTAGGTAACTCGTCAACTCTAGAAAAACACAAGAGAACGGGCAGAATGCGGAGGCAGAGAGCAACTGGTTCAGCCGGTGCTTGCAATGCTGACCATGGGTAGGTGACGAGGTATGCATGCGCAGATGCAAATGAAACATCAAAATTTGAATGAAATCCAAAAGAACTGCTATGGTGGTGATATGTGAAGCAGGCAACACCGCAAGGCCGTGACTAAAAGCAACGAATCTACGTAGCCGACGAGTTTTGCAGCTCAGAGGCCTGCAGCACACCAGATGTGCCTACATTGCTACGCAGCTTATTAACTCCACACAAAATACTACCTTTTATTTACAAATAATCTGTATGTACGCGTTCAGTAGCTCATGGATTTAGGGCTTAGCACGTGTCGCTCGCGAGCGGCTGTCGTTGCCCTCTGTACGTCGGCACAGCAATGTTGCCGAGAGCTCGTCTTCATAGGCTGTAAAATACTGCGTCAGAAAAATTAAAGTGCAATTATATATATATATACATATATAATTATATATATATATATATATATATATATATATAAGTATATTATAATAAGTATACCTAGACCTATAGCGGACAAGTCATGCGGATCGGGCCTAGGGTGCAATTCTGTGCTCTCAATATTTAGGGCTGGCAATATCAAGAATATTTTTTTAGTGCATTTGAGGGCTACTTAGCTGTTACGAGATCAAAAACTAAACAGCTCAACGGTATTCGAGCAGAAGGAAAAACTCTGTCAACCATGTTTCCTAGAGCGAATATGACAAGAACACAAGGCTACTGCGTAGCATAATCTCGTTCAACGCCTTACTTCGTATGCCCACTGAAAACTTGCTGTTTTTCGTTGTATCCCTGGCAGTCGCGAACGTGGGGCATGACATCTAAAGGCAAACCGCGCTTCTCACTCCCGGCCTACTATTATACTTAGCCATCAAGCGCAGGCTCAGCCAATCTTTGCAACAGCATTAGTCATCCAGCCAGGCTGGGTTGCAGACCCTAACCTGTACGTGCTGTTCTGGCGACGTAAGAGGTAGCGCAGTCCTCCCGATAATGAGGGTGCTAACAGCTGCAACTGAGGGAGGCACAGGCTAGTAGAGAACAGGAACGGTGTGCTGGCCACATAAAGGGATAAGAGGCGGGCTTGAACTGGAGTTTCTGGATCCGCACGCCGCCAATACAATGCTGACGGCTTAAACACAAGCGGGAAACTAATGGGTGAGAATAGAAAAGCAGACGGAAATTCGTAAACGTGCCTGATTGTAGGGTGATGCACAGAAGGGTGCTCCAGTGAGGGCCCCTGTGCAGAAACTAGGCTAAGAAGTAGTTCTTAGTCTCAGACAGACGATAAACTCTGCCTAGAGGCGAAAGGAATGTCCTATAGTTCGCGCCGGAGAACACGAGCGAAAGGATGAAAAGGCAACTGCCAAGAAAAGGCGCTACGCGTCCCGAAGTTACGCTCCCTTATGCATTGACCACGCCTCTCCTGTCCATTGTTTAGCTGAGACTGGCCTGTTGATGTGCATGAGGAACTGTATCGGAGAAGCTTGAAATCCCCTCGGAGTGCCGGTTTCATGGTCAACTAAAGCAACGCACTTATTGTCTACGAAATCTACACGTTGCTACACGTGTTTCCATTTCCTCGTCGTAGTGATGCTACCGGCCTTTTGAGGGAGAGATCGGTGCAATCGGGGTGATTCCATGAGCCGTCGTAGAAAGCCGTGATTAATAGTAGCGTGGCACCGCAGCTTGGAGACGTTAAGAGTAAGTGCAATAGGGGCCAATGCACTGACCGCAGAGCAAAAGCAACCTACGGATTCGGGAGACTACGGCAGCGACTTTGGCAACACCATTGCTATGTTTGAGTGTAATTTCGTATTTCGTGAACCTCCAATGGCACAACGCTTTCATTATCGAAGCCAAAAAGGGCACTTTTTCAGGCTCAACAGCGATTGAAAATTGGCATAAGGCACGGACCGCTTGTCATATAAGAATGTTGGCACTTCATTAATCCCCGCGTTGCACTTGAAGCGAACGCTGCATTTGCTGGTAAAGCTACAGCAGATGCAGCTGGACACAACCGTTTTCCCCACCTATACAGCCACCCTACCCTCATTGATTGTGAGCAAGCAGCGTTGCTTCACATGCAGGTGCAGCTTGGCCGCTGCATTCACCAGCCCAAATGCCATGCAGGTGTGTGAGCTGGTTCGTGCGGTATGGAACGCAGTTTTGTACTGGGTTCTGCGAAATCCTAGAGTAATGGACTACCTGAACCAGTTTCTGGTCGAGCGGTTGCTCGATTTGAGGCTCTGAAAGTGTTCGCTTCAGCGCATATTTGTTGAGAAGATTGAACCCAGCGCATACGTTCCACCCCCATTCCTTTTCGCTTGCCAATACCGCTTTGTCTCTGAATGAGCCAGTTCAAGGCTAAACGTCTCTTTTCTTAGTAGTTCGTCTGCTTTCCTCTCGATTTCCTTTTCAAGATGCGGCTGTAACTGTATCTCGGAATGAAGCCTCGAGTTGCTCCGAAAGTGAGTTCGCTGCGGTGCACTGCTCGTTCATGCAGCGGCTGGCCCGCTGGAGGTTCCTTGTAACTTGGTACATCTGAGAGCTCTTCCTTGAACTGTTCCCGCTTGCCTTTCTCCTTGGATGCTGCCTACTTTGCTTCCAGCAAAAATGCTGTCTTCGTACGATAATCAGGACGGAGTGCATGCATTTCTCTGTCGTTTCTTGGAGTGCCTCCGCGCTGCGTCAGAGCCTCCTCCTTCCCTTTTTCTTGGGAGAGGCTTTAGCACTCCCCTGGTTGTAGAAGATACAAATACTGTTGGGAGCGGTGGGAGCTGCATTCGCTCAGTCTTTTTTGCACGTATACAACTGTAGTATCATCTGCACGTCGCATGCGTGCAGCGTTTTGAGGTATCAGAGCCATTCCTAGAAACATTTCGTAGAGGACTGGTCCAACGTAAAAGCTCCGTACCATGGTACTATGACTCACATCTAAGTTGATCCAGCTTTCTACGCCGATGGGTTTGATGATGCTAATATCATATCTTACATTGGCGAACTTTAACCCCAGAGACGGTGCTAACGTGTGGAGAGGTATGTTGCATACGTTGTACCTCTTCGCCGTAGCTTTACACACACGCTTTGAAGCCTGTCTCAAGTTGCGCCTCTGACTCCACCATTCAACTTCTGATCACCAATGACTGATGTTTCTCGGTGGGTCATTTTATCGAACTCCCTCCTTTTTAGTTTTTCTTCATTCCCTCACGGCCCGTTCCCTTGCACGTTTATGGATTCACCTACATTGCGAAGCATCTCAGGAAGCCTCCATACTCCAAGCGTGCTTCGGAAAGGAGGTGCCTTGCCTTGTTTTAATATAGCGACCACTGTCATGCTTAGCTGTTCTGATAAACGAGGCGCTAATCGTAACTGCAACTCGTCCGGAGCATTTTGAAGGTGAAAGTACACCACCTGGGAAGAACGGAGTCATCTCAACTCAAGAGGTGTCCCCTCTTCGGTCTCACTGTATAGGCTTGGACACTCTTCATGAAGTGCGTTGGCTATAGAGGGGTTTTCGATTGGATAAGATGCGGACTTTGCGCTCGTTCCAATGCGACGAGGCACCCAGCAGCTGGTTGCACCCGCGCAGGATGGCATATCCTGATCAGTCTCTTGATTAATATAGTGGGAAAATGCAAGATATTTGCCTGAGAGTTCTGGGAAAATGCTTCAGTATTTTTTTGTTCTGGTGGAACGCCTTTGCGGCTAAACCTTGCCATACACCGGGCCACACAGCTGTAGCTGGTGAGGTTAGCAGCTCGCACCCGTCCATCTGGGTCCAGGGGTGCTACGAAGTGTAACGAAGGTCTTTCATATTTCGAGAAGACAACTGTGCGGCGCAGGAGAGTCACACGGGTAAAGATAATAGTTGCGAGAATACAGCTGACATCCCCTCCGCCTTGCAGGCGTCAAGAGCACAGCAGCCTACGGGCTGCTGTGAGCCCGCGTATGCTGAGGAGTGGAGGCGGGGGGCTATGAGCTGCAACTTAGATTGCTGCAGCTGGCGCTGCAAGGCTACCCCACATAGAGGCACAGCCCAGCCAGCTTTGCTGCATGCAGGAACACTGTACACAGTTGGTGAGGCCCGGTTGGCCCTCAATACCCCGCCTGAAGCCAAAGAAAAATAAATATAATATAAACTTTAGGTAGATCACGCTGCAACAACGCCTCGTCAGCTCCCCCCAGGAACACCGGGGGGTAGAACGAGGGGAACTCAAAGCTTATAGTGTTGCTGCCGACGCAGTGCAGAATATAATTAAAGTATGTATTTCTTGCTGCAGCAGCTTGCATTTTGTATCATATATTGCTGATAAAGTGTTGTTGTTGCTGCTGCTGCTGCTGCTGCTGTTGCTGCTGCAGCTACTGCTGCTGCTGGTACGGTGAATGGGGGGATTCTTAGAGTGCTTATGTGTCGCTGTGTTGGTCTGTCTGCGCGTAGGAGGAATGAAGTTTGTTTAGGGTTTATGTTTTATGGTTTAGGGTTTAGGGTTTAGGGTCTAGGGTTTAGGGTTTAGGGTTTGCCCCCCCTCTTTACCACTGCTTCGGCTGCGGCGGTGTTGTGTGCCGGACGCCTAGGGCGCGGCAGGAGGCTGAGGTCTGTGTTTTGTTGTTGTTTAATTTGCTTTCTTTTCTTTTCGTTTTTATTTTTCTTCTTTTTACTTAAATAAAACGCCAATATATTCTCCTGTTTCCCCCGGAACGTCGCCGCAGCTGGACACTGCAGCAGCATATATAAGCTGCATGCACCACACCCCTCTCCTTTCTGCTAGTTCTCTCCGTGCAGCATTCGTTTGTTTGTTATTCTTTCTTTTCTTTTTTCTTTTTCTTCTTCTTCTCTTCTCTTATAACTCTCTCTCCCCTACACCCCCAGGACACCCCGACAACCACCGTGCGGCCCCGTGCAGCAGCAACACCGCCACAGCTTCTTCTCTCATCTCCCCTCGTACGCCTTGCTGCCTCTATACAGCAGCTGCACTCTCCCTCATGTATTCTTAGCTGCAGCTCAACAGCCCTGGGGGCAGCTCCTCCCCCCAGCCTGCGGGCCCCGCAGCACGCAGCAGAGCTGCAGCTACATGTGTATATATATACAAGTACAAAACCATCTGTCTCCAGCAGCTGTTTTCATTCATTGAATATAACCTTCTGCAGCTGTGCGGCATTCAGCTGCTTAAGAGGCTTCTGTTGCTGCTGCTTGCTGCTGCTTGCTGCTGCTGGTAGCTGCGTGCTGCTGCATGCGCTGCTGTGGCAGGGGGGCGCGGTAGCGTCTTCCTCTGGAGTTGTTTGGTTGACTGAGGGGTTATATAGCTGCATATACACCGCAGGAATGTTTTAGTTGTGTTGGTGCTGCTGCGTTGAGGTGTATATACACCTGGGGGTGTTGTCAGTTGGCTCGGCGGTGCCTCTGGGTCTCTGCTCAGGCCTTGCTGCTCTTGTGTGTGTGGTGCAGCAGCTGCAGCAGCAACAGCAGCNCCTCTGGGTCTCTGCTCAGGCCTTGCTGCTCTTGTGTGTGTGGTGCAGCAGCTAAAAAAAAAAGCTGCTGCGCAGGAGCAGCGGGAGTAGCTGCAGCAGTTGTAGCTGAGGTGTATCGACAGC